AAGGGCATCGCTACTAGGAGCAAGGACGCTACTAGGGGCTCCTGGCCCTACTACTAGGAGCAAGGACGCTACTAGGAGCAAATGGCATCGCTACTAGGAGCAATGTTCGCTACTGGCAGTTCTGGCCGTACTACTAGGAGCAAGGACGCTACTAGGAGCAAAGAGCATCGCTACTAGGAGCAATGTTCGCTACTAGGGGTGCTCCTGACGTTGTGCACTCCAAAAGGCCATTGCCTCGGGCGACACTGCTGGGATGCAAACGCTCCTGAGCTGCGCCAAGGCGGGAATCCAAGTTCAGTTCAGGTTACCACAGCTGCTAGCTGCAACAGATACTTGCACAAGCTGGTTTGGAGTATGAGTATGCTACTTGAGAGATCCGAATTGGTCTTGAGCACGAAAAACAATGGCCGCATTGGAAGGTGTTGTGATCCGACTTGACCATACCTGACCAGCTTTTCTAGCTGTCAGTGGCAAGCAAAGCCACATTCCTTTATGTACAGTGCATCATGCAGACAAGTCTGTTCAGGACCTGGACGAGAAGCAGAAGAAGTGCATTGGAGCCCAGAGCTCAGCGCTTCTTCCGGTCAGATTCAACTAAGCCGCAAGTCCAAAAGTTGGTATGGATGGGATCCTCAAGAATGGTTTCTTTTTTCTTTTTGTTTTGTTCTGGATCCTTTTGGCGGCTGGCATGGCATTTCCACCTGCCAGATCAACCAACCAACCTCACCGGGAAGCCAATATCATGCCGAGGAGGAGGCTGGGCTGATCTCCAGGAGTTTGGAGCAGAAGAAGCTGGAGCCCTTGGAGAGTTTTACATAGTTTTACGGCTGATAGCAGCAATTGTGCCAATTGCTTTTTGTCCAAACTCCAAACCAATGTCAATGTATATAAATCTGATGCCCTTTAGCAGGCTTGAGGTGCATTGCACTTGGTCCATTGGTATATGTTTGCAGTGATCTGCAGTGCAACCATATCCGAGGAATAATTTTGGTTTTGGAACGTTTGCTTGGCAGCTATGCAGAGAATTTGCTAAGGGCTGGAGTGACACTGAAATCCATCCTGCCCAATGCGGAGCGCAACGTGAGAGAACAGTCGCAGGTGCCTTTGGGATCGATTGTCGTATATAATTGAAGAAACCTGTCTTGCTTCTAGTAGGAAGGCCCGATGCTGTCCAAGCCTTTAGGTGATAGTAGCAAATAGTATATAGGTGGGTAGTCCAGCCAGGGGTGGTATGGTCTATTCAGCCCATTCTCGAGTACGAGCCTAGTAGTAGCAGGAAGCTAAGTCAACCATATATGATATCAAGACTTCACTTCTTTAGCAGAGTAGTGTAGGATAGTGTTGGCTAGCTCGTTGGCCCCCTCGACCGGCTGACGCAATCAGGAGCTCCACAAGCATTTCCTACAGGCTGAGGTGCGGATGGTTTGAGACTCATGAGGCAAAAGCATCAGGAAAGCAATCTTTGGGCTTCCTCGTTGAAACATGGACCACGATCTTTTTCACATCCGAAGCATGTCCAGTCCGAGAGCACAGATCCCGCTGCAGGAGCGCTTCAAAAAGACAGACCCGGAGAAACTGGAGCAGTTGGCCACGGGTGCTCGTTGGCGTTTCCGCTTGGGTTCAGGCCAGGGCTGCCTGGGTGTGAAATCATGTGCGAAGTGAAACGGGACCATGTCTGGTGACTGGACCGGTCATAGTGAGATGGACTCGCATGGACTTCAAAAGCCACACTGATCGCCAACACGGACCAGGCAAGTTCAGAGAATTCCAGGAGGAAAAGATCCAGGAGGCAGACTACTCAAGACTGGGCAAAAATGCTGTAGGTGTATTGTCTTTGGGGTCAACCTCGGTGGCAATTTGGAGAACTTCGGTTGGGTTTTCGTTTGGTGAGAGAGAGAGAGTTCTGTCTCGGTGCCCCTGCGAGGTGGAAGCACTTTATCAAAGCTGGTGCAAAAAAGGCAAGCCCACGAATCTTTCATGCACTGCAGAGCGCTGCAACTTCTTTTTGTGTTATCTCCAGGAAGAAGAAACTTCAAACTGATTCAAATCTTATCGGGGCAGAACATCACAATTTCTGTTCAACCAAGGAACAAGCAAGATTGCCGCTATGAGATCACCATTCAGGCACTACGCAGCTGCATGGGTGCATGTCTACTTTCTCAGATGATGCTCCTGTTTTGGCAAGTGAACCCATACTGGGGGGTCCCTTCTAAGGAGAGCCACTGTTGGGGCAGAAGTGTGACATAGAGCCTGGATTCTTCACTCCAGCCTGAAACATGTTTGCCCTTTGTGGTACTTTGATCGATCCCAATTGAACCACGGCCTTGCCAGGTAAAGGGCGCCCGAAGCCCGGTGCAAGCTCCATATCCATATCCAGGGCATTCCAGAGCACTGTCTATTCAAGACATGGATCGGATATCAGATCTCTAGGCCATCGGGGTCTTGACTCCAGTTGAACCCATTGACAAGGCTGGACCGCCTACCAAAAGCATGGCAAGCACCGGACCTGGTGGGCCTCGGGAACGTTGTCCGTGTGGGGACCCAGGGCAGGCCTGTGCGTTGTTTTGGTGGCGATTTTCTTCTCATGATACTCATTGAGAAGGCTTTGGCCAAGAACAGAACACTACTTGCTGTTTCGAGGTACATTGCATGGTACATGTCTACTCAGTGTACTCCTTCTGAGGTATGGGGAGAAGTGCTACCGGAAGAATCCGGAACACAGGCGCACCTGTCGGAATACTGACTAGCCAGCAAAACGCGATATGTTCAGATGAAGAATGCAGGGTGAGAGCTTCAGCCTCTCGGCCAGGAAAGACATGAGCCATCCCGGCGATCCGGACTGGGACGCCAGGGGTACTCAGCTGGCTGGAGTACTTTGAGGGTAGGAAGCGGATCAAAGAGTCCTTGTGTCGTGTTCAAGGGCACCCCCCCGAGGTTTGTTCACTTGGTTCGTCTTGCGTTTTTGTTTGCAAGGAATCAAGCGTTGATGTAGTGCTTGGCGGGTTGGTTGCTTGCGTACAGCGCACTGATCAGAGGAAGCACCGCAGAATTCCTTCCCCACCAACGACGGACTGTTCGCTCAATGTGACTTTCATGAGCCACTCTCAGGATAATCCAGCCAAGGAGGCCGACGGAGAGGCAAACTGCAAGTGGTGAGGTGAAGAGGGCTGGAGCAACACGTTGCTTTAGTAGGGTGGAGGCCATCGCTAGATGAAGGCCATCGCCAGTAGGGCGGAGGCCTATATAGACTCCTTACCGGCCAGGTGAGGCTGGAAACCTACTCGCTGGACTTTCACCTTATGACCCAGGCTTGTGTGAGTGTGGACACTTGTTGATGTCGTCATGTGACTTGGAGCTCATTTCTGAGCTTTCCCCTCTCATCTCACATCCCCATTAAGAGACAGCGCACTTGAAAGATCCAGAAGTCCAAAGTGCGAGAAAACTTTGTTCTACAACCCAGCCCTGTTTAAGGCCCGGTACTGTAGGAGATTGTAGGAGCAATTCTGTAAACATACAGGCTCCATTCCTCTTATGATTCTCAAAGTACCCCTTGCTTCTTCGAGCAAACCCTTTTTGGCCCGTCTATTTATATAAGTCTATTTACGACGCAGTATTTCATCAGCACGCAAGGAGGGTTGCTTCCCAAAGCCTGCCAACCCCCTGAGTTTCTTCAAAGGCACTCCACCTAAATGAAAGGAATGAACTGGATTGATGCTTTTTCAGAATTAATGCTTAGATCATGTTCCCCCTCAGCAGGTCGAGGTTCAGTTGGACCCTCAGCAAAAATTCTCCCGTCCATGGTACAGGTGAACCTGACTCGAGGGGGTCGTGCAATGCGTCCTATCAAGCGTGACGAGGCGGCGACCTTAGAGTGAGATATGGTGCCCAGGTTGCTCGAAAACAAGTCACTTAATTGATGTGCTGCCAAGTAAAGAGCACCTCACGAGCCTCATGAGGTCAAAGTTTTGAGGAACCGGCCGATTTTGGGCTGCTGGTTCACGTAGCACAGTTCTTGAGGAGTTCTGCGACACCAGGTTTTTTGGAACAAGAGATAAATCCACCTCTGTGTATATCACTAGTAATTGGCTTCACCATATTCACCATATGTGGCGAAGGACCCGCTAGAAGGTTCATGACCAGGAGGGGTCTCACCAGCTGCAGCTGTGTATGGCGTGGGTTCATCGACAGGGCAAGACCTTGGGCCAAGAGATCACTCACGTCTACAGAGAGAAGGCGAGTTTTTGAATGTGTTGCTGTTCAGATCAACTTTGCTTTTTTGAGAAGCATGCATACAAGTTCAGCAACAAACACTTCAGCATCACTCTTCACAACTCCAACACGACTGGCAGGTGACAGAGTTCGTCAAAGATACGGAAGACACTTTCAGCCAGGACAGAAGTTGTGACTGAGAATCATGCGTGTGTGTGTGTGTGTGTCCACCCCTGGACAAAGGGTCTTCCACCACCACTCTTTCCACCCTACATGGGCAGGGGGACACGGCACCAGATTGCAGACCGTGTCTAACAAAGCTATGCAATCTGGTGGGATATCCAGCTTGGCCAGCTGGACGTACCTGCTCGTTCTTTCACAAGCTGCTACACCACTCTTCCGCGTTTTGTTTCATGGTCCTTCATGTTTTCTCCCCCTAAACCAGTTCCTCCCCAGCAGCGCTGCAGCTTGAGCCGCGTCGTCAACAGCAACAATTTGTTCAAACATCTACAATTTTCTCGGACCTTTCGCCATGCTGTTCCACCACCTTCCTTCTCAGCAGAGAGATTGAGCTTTAACGGAAAACCAGTGTCGAAGTGTGTCCCGCTCAGCCGTCCCACTCGGGTGCTGAGTGTGATCCCCGTCACAGGGGCGCCGATCCTGCATGGGAAAGCAACCACCCCAACGCACCACCACTCACTGGACTCTCACAGGAAGGCACCGACACCCTCACCGAATCAACTGACATACCGGCCGCCGGGCCAAAAAA